GAAGCAGAGGGGCGGAGTTACAGAACATTCCTGAGATGGGGTGGAGCTTAACAGAACCTTCTTATGATGGGGCAGAGTTTAACAGAACATTCCTGAAAGGTCACAAACCATTTTGATACATTGGGCAGGAGCCCAGCAATACAAACTTACATTTCCAAAACAAAACATTCTGTGGAAAAAAAATGGAGGCAAGGCAAGGGCCTGTCTTATTGTATAGCACTTTTCTATCACTACCACTGAGATATGTCCCCAGCCTTTTTATTTTTTATTTTGAGACAGGGTCTCGCTAAATTGCCCAGGCTGGCTTCAAACTTGTGATCCTCCTGCTTCAGCCTCCTGAGTAGCTGGGATTATAGCTGTGCACCTCACACTTGTCTGGGCCTGAAATTTTATTTGCTAAATCTGGCTAACTCTACTCCTCAGAGTGCTTTCTGATGAAGCTTCTGCAGATAACCTTTCATCTTCAGAGAAGACCCATTCATAAATTCTGGGAAGAGTGGACTCAGAAGTCAGGCAACTCACTGGGAGGTGGGGGCAAGCTGGGCATGCAGGTTGACAGGTACCAGTAGGGGTTTGTCTGTCCTGAGTCACTGGATGTGCTCCCCAGTGGTCTCCAGAAAAGTCTCATGGTGTAGAGGTTTGCAAATGAGCATAGCGAGGCTACTGTAGCAGAGAATGTATGAGGGTCCATTCCTTTTTTTTTCTTGAGAAAGAGAAGCTATAGTTCCTTGTCCTATGAAGGGTCACTTGAGTGGCCATCAGCATTAGGGAAGTCTGGTGTGGATCAGCAATCTTTATCCTGGCATTAAAGTGAAATAAAACCTTTGTGACTCAATTAGGGTGGCCTTCACCAAGGTTTGTCCAATGCAACCTTAAACACCAGGGAGGAGGGAACTCACTGTGAACATGTCCCAAAGGGCCTTCTCTGGGTGAAAAGTCTAGCACCCCAGAATCTGCTGTCCATAACTAAATTTAGGACAACTGTTTGAAGACTTGACACAGGGCCATTGGCAAGGAAGGACCAAGAGGCCCTTGAGAAAATCAGGGGATTCTAAGTCAGTGACCAGGGCTTTAGACCTCACTGGGGAGAGCTTTTACTACCGGCTGCAGCTGGTCAGTGGCTGTGCTGGAAGAGCATGGTGAAGCAGAGGAGGGAAAACGTCAAGGACAGCCCAAGAACGTAGCTCTCTTGTCAAAATGTGGCACAAAGGGCAAGGCCACTGTACCCACGCAGGTAGCTGGGATAGAGAGAGAGAACATGCCTCTGAGACCAGCCCCATCTGAGGGACAAGGGAGAGATGCACTCCTCAGGTGTGGATGTCACATTGACCTCTTTGTGGACTGTGTAGGTCTGGAGGCTTTTGCATGGCTCACACTACTGCAGAGAGTGCAGTGTCCTGTTTTCTCATGGCATGTTAGTATTCAAGTCAAAATTTACCTTGACAGGATAAAATATAACCATGATGTAACCACATAGGTGCTCAAAAGTTTGAAAAGTAGCTTATGTCCTTTACAAGAGCTTTAAACCCTGTTTAGGGTATTTTAAATTACTGGTGAGGGCCCCCTCCTCCTGCCCTGCTCATCTACTGCGCAGTATTGCATATTCTTTCCATTAGAGAAAGCTCTCGGCTGGGACAGTCAGCTCATTAGGCATTCTCATCTCTTTATGATGACACCAGTTTAATATAAGTGCCAGCTCTGTTGCTGGGTGGTGGTTCAATAGAGTATTCAAAGCTTCTACTGATAAATGTTTTAAGCCATGTTCACTTGGAAGTTTTTTGGCAACTGTGAAGCATAAAACATTAAACTTATTTTATTTCACATATTCATCAGCTGACTTTCAGACTCTGGTTAATTATATTAACAGCAAGCTAATCTTTGTATTCTTCAAAAAATATTCTGCAAATAAAATTGCCACATATTACTGAATTAATAATTATCAAAGATCATTTATTATTAGTACTTCAGGTTCATGGCTGATGGATCTGGTTAATAAGCCAACTGTGTGTGTGTGTGTGTGTGTTTGTGTATGTGTGTGTGTGTTTTCATGACCAAAACAATATTTAAATGTCTTTTTTTCTCCTGCAAGAAGTGGCAATATTTTGAGAGCTTTGCAATAGTCCTATGTGTACTCTTAACATTTGGCACTATATGCAAAATAACGGCACACCGTTTTCCTGTCTGGCCATATATGAATTGCATGCTGCAATCAGTATAGCATTGCCTATATGGTTAGATCTCATTTAGTCTTCTAGGAAATAATTTTTTAAAAATTATAATGGCATACCTAACAATTTAATAGTGATTTATAGCTGACGAGGCAATTTTTCATCTTCAACCTTACTGAAATTTTCAAAGATTCCATCACCTGAGTGGAATGTATATTGGAATTCTAATTTTATAAATGATGGAAACCAAATCCCACTAGAATAGAATGATTTGTCCAAGGTTACATAGATGTTATCTTTGGGCAAAAGAGGATTTACATGGACTTTTCCTAAGCGAGGCTTCCAGTAACTGAAAGGTGAGCATGCTCTGCTATGGTCTCTTACCCTGCCTCAGCACTGGGTGTATTAACTAAAACAAGATCAGTGAAGTTAGTTATAAGATAGGAATAATAAAAGTAAGGTAGCTTACAGGGATTTAGGGAGTGTTAAATTAGTTAATGGAAAGCCTGATTTTGTACATTTGTGTAAATTAGAATACTGGTGGTTCAGATCACTAAAATTTGGACAGAAAGTCTACTCTCTTTCTGGCTGAAGAAACCAGAAAGCAACCTCTTTGTGGCAGGAGTCATAAACAGGGCCACTGGACAGCAGGCCAAGCCCCAGCCACGAGGGAGCCAGAGGAAGGGATGCCAAATTCAGTGTTTAAATGTGTCCAAGTGTCTGGCTAGCCAGTGAACCAGTCATGTATACTAACCCAAGAAGAGTATCAACTCAGCTGCCACCCATTGCAAGCATGGCAGTTTTCATAGTCTCACCACATTAACTGCCTGCTAAAACAAAAACATCAGTTTTTTTTGGAGGCAAATAACAGATTCCAGAATCCCTACATACAATACTTATAATTCTAGGATATAATACAAAATTACTTAAAATATGAAGGATCATAAAACTGTGACCCATTCACATGAAGAAGATAATAATCAAATACTCACCCTAGGTGTTGGAATTACTGAACAAGAACTTCAAAACCATTGTAATCACCATAATCCATGAAGAAAAGGAAAGAACCCTTCCACTAAATTAACAGAAAATCTCAGGGAGTAAGTGGAAAATATAAAAATAGGCCAATTAGAAATTTTAGAACAAAAAATTATAATATTTGAAATAAAAAATAGCATTGGGTGGGTTAATAGTGGAGATTACAGAAAGAATAATTAGTGAATTTGAAGATAGATCAAGAGAAATTATCTAATTTAAAGAAAAGAGAGAAAAAAAGAGAAAAAAGTTAACAGTTCCAGAGACATGTGGAACAATGAGATAGGTCTAATCAATTTTGTTGATTACCACTTCAGAAGGCTAAGACAAAGAGCAACTGAGGCAGAAAAAGTATCTGATGAAATAATGTCCTCAAATTTAGTGAAAGATATAAACTTACAAATTAAAAAATTTGGTAAAACCTGAAGTAAATAAAATATAAAGAAAGTCGCATGTGGGCATGTCATAATTAAACTGTTGAAAAGCAAAAATACAGAGAAAATTCTTGAAAAAAGCCAGGAAAAAACAATGCAAGGGAACAATAATTCAGATATCAGAGGAAGAAACAAAGAACACGAGAAATGGAAAGTGTCTGGATAAATGTAAAAGTGGGCTTATTTACTTCTTAATTAGAAATACTTATTAGTATTAAAAATAAAACTATAGCCTTTTCTTGAATGGTTTATAATATGTTAAGTCATAAAACACATGAAAACTGGAACATAGAGGATGCTGACAGGCGATTGGGTGGGGTGGGGCAGGTGGACCTTTACAGTTACAAGGCTTCTACAATATTAACTGGAATAGAGGCTGATTTTAAGAAGAATGTGGAAAACAACAGATGTATATGTAATTCTAGAATGACCACTAAAAGAAATAAAGTGTACATGTATAATTAAAAATCCAATGGATAGTTAAAATGGATTTCTAAAATTTACTCAAACAATCAAAAGAAGGCTGGCAAGGGTAAAGAGAGAAATCTTTGGACGGGATTAACAAAAAACAAATAAAATTCATGGTTTCAGAGAAAAGGACTAGGTTTGGGATAAGCTGTGTCATAATTTCCTATCAGTAGGGAAATGTAGGTGGTTATGCAGGACAGTGGTAGAGATTATAGCCAGAATGCTTATGTTTAGGAAAAGGATGAAGAGGAAAACAATACATAGAAGTAAAAGACCCGTCTGGGTTCTAAGGGTTTCCAGACACAGATGCATATTATTCAGATCTCCAGATTCCTTATTGCACTGTGCAGTGAATGAGATTGTCTTCTAATTCTTGATTTTGAGATACTATTGAAACCTATTTGGTTTCCAATGTCTTGAGTCACAATCTCCAGTTTATTTCTGCACTCTTTTGCTTGCTGGTTCATCCCAGAATACCTTCTGCATATGTTAATCTTTGGGCCTAAACTCTCTGCCTTCTCCTCAGAATATATCAGATGGTGTTGGCCTAGTACTTGATCCTGAACCTTGTTTCAACCTCATTTGGACCCTGACTTTGACTTTTCCTTGGTACTTGAGACATGCATCTTAGGTATAGTGTAACAATTCTCTGGCTCCTTGTCCTGGGTCTTCCTAGCTTTCTCCTTACAGTGGCTATTCAGCACATGATAGAAAAGACCCACCACCAGTGGACAGGAAGACAGCTGAGAGTGTGGAGAGAGGAACAGAATAGAACCAAGGCCAGGGATTGATAGATACAACACTCTTTAGTCACAGTGAGGCTGGAAGTCCACAAGATGGCAACATTTTCCTATAAAATTAATGCAAGCAGTCAGTGTGATGTTGAAGTGGTTTCTAATGTTAAAATGTTTTATTTGCTGCTAAAAAAATCAGAAGGTAAAGGCAATGCTTTTGATTTAGAGCAAGAGGACAAATATGGGAAGGGCTTTGGCTGCATGTGATTCCCTCACTGATTTAAAATGGTGAGTCCTGGAGCCACATGTTCTGCACACAGAAGGGAAGAATGAGAAATCTCTTGCCTCTGTCCATGACAGCAAGCTCCAGGGTATATGTGGAGTCGGGATGGATTCAACTCAGGTGTCACATTAGTTATGACCATCACACTGAGTGGTCCTGTAGGTGCTGAATTTGTTCGGTGTTTTCTTATCCAGGTAGTAGCAGAACATAATCTATGAAATTTCCATAAGAGATATTGGAAAAAAGTAAATACATAGTTTTAATCTTGAATTCATCAAAAATCTCAGGAGTTTTAATTCAAAAACTTGTTATATAAATTCTGTGAGATATATGGTCAATTTTTTGTTTTGGTGGGGAGAGATACCCAGGGTCTTTGTACTAAGTTACATTCCCAGTCCTTTTAAACATTAAAAAAAATTTTTTTTTGGTACTGGGGATCGAACTTGGGCCCTTGCGCTTGCAAAGCAGGTGCCGGAACCACTGAGCTAAATCTGCGGCCCAATATTTTTTAAAATTTTGAAACAGAGTCTTACTAAGTTGCCCAGGTTGTGTTCAAACTTGCAATCCTCCTGCCCCAGCCTCTCAGGATGCTGAGATTACAGATATGCACCGCCACATCTAGACACATAGCCAATTTTATAAAAGAATATGCCTTAGAAGAAATGACTTACAAATTCTTATTTAGCCTATAAATATTTGGATATTTGAGTGCAATGTACCACTCTAACAAGTAGAAAAATCATAAATTAAGAACTTCAGAGATTTATTCTGAAAACTAATTCTTGAGAAAAAGTTTTACTACAGAGCAGCAAAGAAAGGACATCAAAGTATTATTGATTAGTGAAACAAAAAATTATTATTTTCCCATTTTACAATGAAAAACCTAAGCTCAGAGAAGTTAAGTGACTTACTCAATGCTATATTACTACAACAAAAGAACTACAAGTTGAGTGCCTACATAGTTCAATATGTTAGGCTAGCAGGGAAGAAAGTCAGCAAGAACTGGAGAGAGGAGGCCAGTTCAGGTCTGCTCAATGCTAAAGTTTGACTCCTGTTTACTCATTGCTGAGCCATTTAAAGTGATTCTGCATCAGACCACTAGAGAGTCCCAAGGACTTGAAGTAGTTCACTGCACTTGATTCCAGGTTAGGCCATCTGTCTTTTCCACTGTCAATATTAGCAAGTCACCCTGAACAGGGTAGGCTTTCAGAACATGTTTAACAAGGGAGTGGGCATTGGAAGGAGACCAGATTTTACTGTCACTTCTGTTTGTGGCTAATTTGCCCCAGTCTAAAACAATATCAGGTACAAAACTACATTAATGATTGTTAATGGAAAGAAAGAAGAAAAGAAGGAAGATAAGCTTAATGGGGAAGGGAGAGGGAAGATCAAGGCAAATAAGAAAGAGGAGGCTTTTTGTTTTTAGATGGTGCCATAGCTTTCTCAGTCTGAAGGCTTTAAGTCTTCTTTTGGTTGTGCACACTTTGTTGCCTTATAAGGCAACCATTGTCCTGGCTGTCTCCTGCAAGGCTTCCTGCCCACAGTTACAGGTGCATTATGTCATCAGTCATCTGCACAGAAGCCCAGCACATCCACACCAGGGTACTGTGTGGTTGCACATCCCTGCTATTTCTCTTTTCTCCTTTGCCTTGTTTGGTTGAGCATTTTTTATATAGATGTAAATCACATTATGGGAGAGTCACACTTGAAAAGATATTACAAGGGTGTCTTAAACCAGAAGGAAAAAAAAAGAAGGCAGGATCTATCCTATCATTTGCCTTGGACACAAGTATTACGTGTAGATGGATTGTGTAAACCTGAGTCTCAGTTCTTTTATAGACCAGCTTGTCTAGTTTCACCTCCTCTTTGACTTCTACATCCTTGAGTTGCTTGGCTATAGTATTTGGGTTGACTTGGCAATAGGTGCTCTCTCAATAAAACAAAATTCATGATCATTAAGGTTTCTCCTTAAAAATATCAGTAGATGGAGAGAAGGAACTATACATCTTGCACAGGTGTCTGCCAGTGGGGGTTCATAGGGTTTCTCCTATCTCATTCGTCAACACGAGATAACCGATAGTTTAGTTCCTGCTCAGAACCACAGTCTGTCTCTCCTACTCCCAAGCTGCCAGCTTGTCTCCCTGTGACACTGACTTGATGGAAATGTGAAAAGCAAAGATGAAAATCCTACAGAAGCACAGGCCAGTGCATATTATATTTTGTATTAAATTATTTAAACATGTTTCATTGTCTTCTTTTCTTTAAGGACTATTTATTTTTTCAATTATAAATGTAATAAAAAGTCATTTAAACAGTTGAGAAATACAAAAAGACAATAAAAAATGACGTGCAATTTCACCAATCCTGTATAAACCTATTCAGTTCCTTTAAGATTTCTAAATGCATCTTTTTATTTACACTGTTGAGATCATGGAGAACGTTTTGCTTTTTTTGTTTTTGGTACCGGGGATTGAACTTGGGACCTTGTGCCACGTTTTACTTTTTTTAAAAAAACAGTAATTTTACTTATCTCTCCTTTTCTCTTCTTTTTTCTCTTTCATTAAAATAAATTCAGCTCTTCTTTTAGTAATCATATATTCCCACTAAAGAAACATTAAAATCTTTGATAGAAAATGATAAAAATTACTTTCCACATATTAATGTCTTTTTTCCAAAGCGGAGATGTGGGTGGAAGGAAGGATAGGAGACTTCTGAGGAAAGCATGTGCTGGTGGTAATTACGTTGTCCGCATCCTTGTCCTCCTGGGGCTCACAATCAGTTATTTCCCTTGAAACAGCAATTGGGATCAGTCACTCCTCCCACAAATGTTAGTAGTTCTTTTTAAAATTTATTATACACTTTTTTGTTTTTTGATAAAAATGGATTTCAGACATGAAGAGGTATAAATATACTTGGAGGTGATGGGCTGAAAATGTTCGGTAATCTTTTGTCTCATTGAAATATAACTGCCTAAAATTTTGTACAGTTTTGGAATGTTAGTCCTCCAGTTTTTCTAGGATTCTCTAAAATTAATGCAATGGATTCTGATATGCCCCCAAGGTTTGAGTGAAAACTAATCAGCTCCCCTCAGTTTTAGTGCTGGTTGGCTCAGAACTGTCCAACCTGGAGTCCTTTTCAAAATATTTAATCTTAACATGCATGTTCTGAATCTGCTTTTCCTTTCCTTCTGTTGTTCAAATACCCAGGCTGTGAAGTATAACTAATTACTATGTGTCTACCAGATGCCAGAAATATCTTGAGCATTATAATCTACATTCTTTTATCTTCTGCTCAAAATACATCAGCAAATCAGACAGTATTAGCCCACTCTAAAGGTGAGTTAATAGAAATTCAGAGGTTTAACTCATATAATGTCACATGTCACACAGTGTGTGAAGATGGTTTAAGAAACTCCCAGATGGGGGAATGGAGAAGCATATGGTTTAGAGGTTGCTAAAGAGAAGGAGTTGCATTTGTCTCAGCTGAAAACTGCAGTTAGGAAGAGAGTTTGGAAGCACTTTGGGAGTTCAGACCTTATTGGGGTGACTTGTCCAAGACAGAGTTGTAGAAAAATTAGTCTGGATTTATCCCGAAGGCTAGCTTGGCAGAGATGAAGCCAGAAAGGCTAACAGGAAGGTCACTAGGAGAGCCAGTGTGAATCAAGAAGGGTCTGAAGCAGGGTAGAGTTATGGGGCATGCAAAGGAAGGCGTGAATGCATGAGGTTGTGAACTAGCTCCAGGAATCTCTGCTTTCCTGCTCTGGTCCCTAGGTCTCAGCATGGGATGTGGAGGCTGCCTCCTCCACTCGGCTGGCTCTGGCAGAGGGAAACCTCAATGGTTTGGTTTTTTTGCACTGTCTTTGGTTTGCCTTAGGCAGAGAGGCAGTAACATAATGACTATCAATAAGCCTCAAATAGTTCTTAATGTTTATTACAAAGATTTTTAATATTTGAGGGAAAATGTTTTCATGTTCGCTGTGGTACTAATATTGAAAAACTACATTCTCGTGGAGACCACTTTATAACTTAAATAAATGCTAAGCAGATTCATTCACATTTGTACTGGATATGTACCTTGATTTTTGCCTTCATGGCTTTTTTGAGTTTTTTCTTTCCTAATTCTGTTTCAATTTCCCCTTTTCAGTTTGGAAGAGGAGACAATCAGAAGTATCTTGATCATCAATTTGTATAAAAACAGTAGCATCTGGGAAAAATTCATGGCCTCTCAGCAATGGGCCCTCTTCTGTTTTTGTTTTTTGTACCGGGGATCAAACTCAGGTCCTTGTGCTTGCACAGCAGGCAGCGAAACCACTGAGCTAAATTCCCGGCTGGGCCTCTTCTGGATACCTTGAAACTATCTAGTAAAAAGCCTGTGGAATTAGGTGGAAAATTACAGAGGCAATATCAGTCCCCCTTTGCATGAGTTTATCTCACTCACTTAAAATTTGGGTTAGGTATTTAAATTTAAACGTTTTTTTTCTTCTTAATACAACAGCACTTTTATGAACATTTGATAGTTTCATCCTTCAAAGATGTCAAATCTAAAATGTTAATTTTCCTTTCTTATTAAGTATGCAAATTTTCATATATTGGTCTTAATGTGTGTCCTTTTTATTCAGAGATTCCTTTACTAGAAGGAACAATTTCATTCTTAGAGTTACAGCTGTCACTTTTTTGTCAATGACTTCCAAGCTCCTAAGACTAAACTCAATTATTCTTTTGAGTTTTGATTTGGAATTTTTTTTTTTTTTTTTTTTGAGAGAGGGTCTTGCTAATCACTAAGTTGCCCAGGCTGGTCTTGATCTTGCTGTCCTCCTGTATCAGCCTTCCAGAGTGCTGACATTACAGGTGTGTGCCACCATACCTGGCTATGATTTGGAATTTTCAAAAAGCCGCTTAGTCTCTCATTCTGAATGCCCTTCAGGAAAGGTATATACATAACACTGTCAAAAATCATGCTGCCGTCCTTCTAACTGAGGTTCCTCAGACTCACCAGTCCTCAGTCCAAATTAAAGAGAGGTATGAACTTCTCTCTCAACTTCCTCTTGCTTCTCACAAATACTAGCCTAATCTGGGTGTGCCTCCTCTGTACTCACACTGCCATTTCTGTACCACACCTTAGTGTGGCCCTTGGTACCTCTCTTCAGGATGAATGCCTTTTAGAGCATATTGTTTTCTTGAGATCACAAAGCATCAAATCTCACTGCAGAAAAGTTGAAAAATTGGGAAAAGGATGAAAAAATACAAAATTATCCATAATCTCATATCCCAGAGATTACTGTCATTTTGTTTTACACCTTTACAGTGGTTCTTCATGTGCCCATCTATCATATTATAAGTAATTCTGGATTGTCTTTTTAAAATTTAATATCATAGGAACATAATATTTCACATGCTATTGCAAATTATTCATTGGAATAAATTTTAATGGTTGCATAATATTCAGCTGTTTTATTTATTCTTATTTTTATTTTTTTTGGTACCGGGGATCGAACTCGGGTCCTTGAGCTTGCACAGCAGGCGGCAAAACCACTGAGCTAAATCCCCGGCCCTCAGATGTTTTATTTAATCTTTTATAATTTCACTCTTTAAATTCTTCATATCTCTATTTAGATATATATTTTAATGTATAGTGGGAGGTCAGGAGCTAAGTTAATGAAGAATAACCCATGATTATACAGATGCAGGAAAGCTAAATTTCTTACAACTATTCATAGAATGAAGGAACAAGAAATTTTTTAAAAAAGTTAATGACTAATAATCCCACTCATTCATTTTGGCCAGGGACTGACTAGGTGAAAGAGAGTCCCCAGAAACTGAGGAGGTGCACGGGAACTAGCCAGTTATCTATATTCCCTGATTCAATTTCCTTTCTTTCTTTCTTTCTTCCTTTCTTTTTTTTTTTTTTTCTTCTTTGAAATACTAGTAACATTGATACATTTATTTGGCTTGTGGAGGACTGAAATATTATAGATAATATAATCTAGCTTTTTTTTCAATTTCCTTTCTTAAGTGAGATAATAAAAGTTCCTATCTTGTAGGATTATTCTAAGAATCAAATAAACTAATTTGAATAAAACACAGTTGAACAGTACTCCTGCAAGTAAGCTGCAAATCTGTGTATGCTGTAATAGTGCTGGAAGCATTTCATGCTCTTCTGGGATACTGAGGCAAGCATTTTGGTCAGGAAACTGGGGTGAAGTCTAAAGCTCTAGTGAACCGGAGATTTGTGCTGTCTGGGGTCAGGACTGTTCCTGATGTTTGGTAAAGGGACCACACTGTGGATGAATATTAAGTGGTCTTAACTGTGATTATTAAATGGCCTCGGGAGAACGTGTTCAGCATATCACGACACATGGACTTAGAATACAGGTTCTTAGCTACATCTGTGCATTTAGATTCACCTGGGGAGTACACGAAAATGCTGGTGTCTGGGTCCCAGCCTCAAACTTTGACAAATTCTGATTTGTTTTGAAATGGGATGCTGGCATCATTATATTTCAAAAACTCCACAGATGTGTTTAATGAGGAGAGTGAGAATCACTAGTTTACATGAATGCAAAAGACAAAATTATTAAATTTACATTGTACTACATTTTTACCTTTAAGAATAAAACAAATAGCAGGGCATGATGGCACATGCCTGTCATCACAGTACTGGAGAAACTGAAGCAGGAGGACTGCTGCCAGTTCAAGGTCAGCCTGGGCTACACAGTGAGTTCAAGGCCAGCCTGAAAAACCTAGAGAGATCCTTATCAAAGAAAGAAAGAAAGAAAGAAAGAAAGAAAGAAAGAATAAAGCAAATGAAAATAAATAAATCATAATCCTACATAAATTAGGATGCCATATTGATTCTTTACCTCTGACTCAGAAAAAATTACTTCAAGAATTTTGGAAGGCAGTGGGTTATTTTCTATTAGACTTGATTTGATTGTTTCTTCTTATTCTGTAAGTTGTATTTCTGCAAAGACAAAAATCAGAAAATAAAACAAATTTTAAAAGTCTAGCCAGGCATGGTGGTTCATGCCTGTGATCTCAGCATTTGGGAGGCTAAGGTAGGACGACCACTCGAGCCCAGGAGTTCAAGACATAGTGAGACCCTAGTGAGACCCTCAAAAGCAAACAAAATAATAACAACAAAACAAAGTAAAAAACACCACCATATTAATAAAAAATACTGTATTACATCATTGATTAGGATGGGACCTATATTTTCTCTGAGGTCACTTTTTATACTGTTGCTTGTAAATGTTTTAAAATTTGAGCTTTTTTTTGTACTAATGTTATAAATAGTATCTCCTGTAGCTACAAGGAATTACTAGTGATAACATGATTGACTTTTATAAATGGTCTCAAGGCCATAACTACTGTTTTTGCTAAAACTTTGTTCAATTTACCTTACATACCTATAAGGCTTAACTGATTTTTATTTTCTTGGTACCAGAGATTGAACGCAGGACCTTGCTCTTGAGAGGCAGGCTTGGCACCACTGAGCTACATCCCCAGCCTGGCTTTAACTAATTTTTGTCATCTATTCTATATTTACATGGTAGTAATTTCTTCAACCTAGCAGATGGGGCAACCAGGCAGCCATCTGAAATACAGTGGGTAAGGGGATTGCAACATCATGATAATGGATAGACAATATTGTGATAATTAACTTGTTAACTCTTTCTGAAGTAAGATTACCCTTGAATGGATAGTGAAAAAAATAGTTCTTACTGGAATGAAACTATTTTTGTTAGGTCCTTTTGTTACCCAAAATCTTGAGAATGAGCAAGGTATGACAAATTGCTACTTACCAGGAAATAGGATCTAACTTTATTATCTAAAAATAACCTTCCTTAATATGCCTCCTGGGAAGTTAAGTGATTCAGAAAACAGCAAATGAAAGAACCATCAAAGAGCAGGAAATATTTTGTTCCATTTAAAAATCTAGACTTGTTAAATTAAAAAAATCTGGATCAATATACATTTTTAACATCAATAGAATATCAGTTTCTTCCTGGCTCAACTAAATATAGGTGGAAAACATTTAAAGAATATGTTTGAAAGTGTGACACGTTACCTATACAATACCATATAACTGTACCTGGGTCCACTTATGGTGGCTCACTTGAGAAAAAATAGCTTACCTACATCAGAAATGCTTAAACAAATGAATTAGAATTAAATTAGAATTTTTACAGCTCTTTTTTTTATAGCTCTTTTTTTTTATAGCTCTTGATAGAAACTAAGAGATACACAAAAAATTTCCTATTAGACAACCTGATAGATCAATGTTTTGAGATTTCCATTGCCACTGAGGCATATTTTTAGGCTATTTGATAAAAAACAGGATGCAATAGCGGAAAAACTTTGTAGTCTAGGTCAGACATAGCAAATAATATAGTCTTAAATAAATGCCATATGACAGTCTTGTCAAGGAAGGCTTTTCAATTTTTATTGCAGCCAAATACAATTCAGTATTTCATATTCTAGATGAGCTATAAGATCTGCATTTAACATTGGGGAAGATGACTTTGAAATGAATTATTTTTACGAGTGCTGGGGATCAAACCCAGGGCCTCGCACATGCTAGGTAAGTGCTCTACCACTGGGCTATACTCTAGCCCTTTATTTTATTTTTTTTGTCTCTTGAGACAGGATCTTGCTATGTTTTCCAGGCTGGCCTTGAACACACTATGTAGCCCAAACTGGCCTCCAACTCACAGCAGTCCTCCTGCCTCAGCCTCTCAAGTACTGGGATTACAGGCGTTCACCACTACAACCCCAACCCTTTAAGTGAGTTTTATATTTTTCACCCTTTTATATTATATTATATTTTATATTTTTTCACCCTTCTTAAGAACTTTTTAGAGTTTTAGACTACTTTGATGCCACTTATCCAAGGTAACACCAATAAGTACAACTATCTGCATAGAGATTAATAGGATTATCTGCTTCTTTGCATTTTCTTTTTTTTCCCCCATTAAGTTTATTGGTACATTTTATGTATACAATACAGTTACGTTCATCATTGGGATCTTGTACCTTTACCTGATGTATCTTGGTTCTTATTTTTTTCCCCATTCTCCAGCCCTCCCTTCACCCTCCTTCGCATTTTCTTCCTCAATTTTAACATTGCAAGATCTTCAAAGGAGGAAGGAGCTAGGAGAGGGGAAGGGGTTGTAAAAAGAATTAAGACATATATATATATATGTATGTTCCAACTCCCCACAATGAATGTATTCAATATGTACCGCAAGGATGTACCAATAAAAATTTAAAAATCTATGACATTTTGTATAGCAAAGTTTTAAATCTTGTATTATATTGTAGGCACCATGATTTTTCAGTTTGTTGCCCCTTAATTTGAATGAGTTTTTAATCTGTGTATTCATTTTTCAGAAGTTTTATATTTAATGAGATTGATGTTATTTTCTTTTCCTTTATGGTCTGATTTGTTCAGCTGAACATCTTTTGGGCATTTACAATTTCCAAGTTTCTAGTATTGCACCAATGGTGAGCAATTTGAGGATGCATGACTTGGTCCCTGTCCTTGAAGAGACTACCTTTGTATTTTTCCCCATATGAATATCATTTTCCAATGTTCTGAATCTGATTCCGGTTATGCATTTCTTTTTATTCAGTGTTCACCAATTGAAGAATACTCAAGATAGGAAGAAAGAAAGAATTAATAGCCATAAAACTTACTCTTAAGGAGCTATGTTTAAAGGCCAGTGATAGAAGAAATAGAGAGTAATAAAAGCCATGCCTAAGAGGAGAATTAAATTTGGTTCACATTTTGTGGGTTAGATATAAATGAAAATGTTAATTTGTCTTTAAAAATAAATATAAAAGAGCATGAAACAAATTATTCTAGTTTCTCTGTCATATGGGAGGAGATATTCTTAGGACCGTTTTAAAAAAAATTTGTCATTATAGTTCTGTTGTTTAGCATAATATTTGCTGAAATATCCTAAATCAATAAATGTTTGTTGACTAAATCTCCAGTACAAGTAATTATATTTGGCAACGTTTTCCTTGGATTTTAAACATGAAAAACAAGCTTCTCACTTAATTGCAATCTCAGTAATCATGCTTTAATATACTAATTATTTTAATTAAAACTCTCCTAATTACAATATATAATGATTTTATCATGTTGACATATAATCAACTTTGCATGAGGTAACCACAGAAACCAATCTAGGGCTAACAACTTTTTAGTTTGCAATTTAATTAAAGTAACAATTCCCTTTAGAACAAAATGTGCATTTTAAATATGCAATTGTTTTGATGAACCCATACATTATGGATTAAAAATATTTTCTACAAAATAGTCTCTTAACATGAATTTTCCAGCCCCCAATCCATAAATGAGTCCCACTAGAAACTTGAAAGTGCAGTTCACTTGTCACTTTTCAGTAACAGGTAAGATTGTGGAAATAGCTTTTGGGAAGGAGCCCTTTTCCTAATAGCTTTCTACAAAGTTCAAGAGGTGAATCAAAACAGAATGTGAATTTACAGTTTTAAGCAGAGATAAAGATGTGAAAGCTATTTAACCAGAGCCAAAACATATATCATCTCATTTTTAGCAGTATATCTTGTTCTTACTTGTAAACCATGAAGAACTATTTCCCTATAAAGTTTAATAGCATTTTCAATGTTTTTCTAATAATCCTCAGGCCTCTGAACTAGATGATAAAGAATTTTAGCTACCATCTGCATTTCAGCAACATATGGCTAAATGGAAAAGAAGAGATTTTAACTATCTTTTGATCAGTGATTATCCAATTTATAAGACCCATCTTTTATGCCATTTTAGGGTGAAAAGAAGGGGGAAAGGATGAAAAAGGAAACAACCCCTCCATATGGAATTGGGCAATTATGGGTTAACGTGTTATTTAGGCAACTATGGATTAACTAGGGTAACTATGCTGTTTGTGGAATGTATCTGAGTAACCATGACAACTTCTGTAATCTGTCACCAAAGGAGCATAATGGACTCAGAAAGTCCTGCCAAAACTCTTTGCACTCCCCTCCCCCATATCCACTGCTCTGCTTTGTGTAAATCTTGCTTGCTATATTCCCAGGGAAACTCCAATGAAAGTAAGCCTCATAGATGTAAAAAGAGGGATATAAAGAAAAACAAACTTCTATTTGGGGTACACATTGAGCCACCAGCATTATCAAAGCTGCTTTTTGCTCCTAACTCCATATTTGAGTGCTCTGTCTGGGATTCCCCCAAAGTTTCCTGCTGCAAGGGAAGACTAGAGACCTAAGATTAAATCTCTAAAATGACTTGAATACTATCCAGGCATGGTGATGCATGCCTGTAATCCCAGCACTTGATGGCTGAGGCAGGAGGACCACCATGAGTTTGAGGTCAGCCTGGGCTACATAGTGAGTTCAAGTCCAGCCTGAACTACATTAGCAAGACCCTCTCTCAAAAAAATGTGTTAAGTATCTACCAGATATTTACTAATTTCTTTTTTTGCTCCTCAACAAATAAGGAAGAGTAGGGGGAAAATGTCAGGGTTTTAAAGACAAAATAGAGAAACTGGTATTTCTCTGAATACCTGAGACTGTATTTCATCCATTCATTTATACCTTCATTCAGAAACATTTATTGAGTGACTACTATATTTCAAGCACTGTTCTAGGAGCTTGAGATACACCATGAACAAAATCATTTAACACTCTGAGCTCATAAAGCTCACATTGCAATTGGGAAAGACAGCATAAACAAGTAAGGAAATAAATATATAACATTAGGTGGTGGTAAGCGTTAGGAAGAAAAATAAAGCAGAGAGTAACAGAAGAAAGTACCATTTATATCAGGTGGTCTTGAGAGGCTCTCTGATGGGGTGGTGTTTGAGTTGAACCCAGAAGGAAAGGAGAGAGCCAAACAGATTTTTTAGAGAAAGAATAGTTCAAGACAGAGGGAACAGAACTTGGAAAAGTTCTCAGCCCAAGGCCTGGCACATGGTAAGTGTTCTATATCATATTTAGAATTATTAGTCACTCTCCAGTTTTTTAGCAATTTAGGCATATACATACTTTATACAATTTGGATCACATTATCTATATAAGGCATTTTATAATTTGTCTTAAATATTATTTTATTTTATTTTTTACCCAGAACCAGGAATTGAACTCAGGACTGGTACTTACCAGGCAGGTACGGCACCACTGAGCTAAATCCCTGGCCCTTAAATATTATTTTAATGGTCTAACAGTATATTAATTTCCTTGAATATACTATTATTTAATCATTATAGCTGGGAAAGAAGACTATTTTAGGTTTTTACAATTATAAATAATGCAATGAACAGCTTTGCAGATTAACCTTTACACTGCCAACATTTCCCCTAGACTAGCTCCTAAAATTAGAATTGCTGTACCAAAGATTAAATATCTCAAAGTGGCTCACCATCCCCCAAAAGACACGTCCATTCTCTTTCCAGCAGTGGATGTTGCTAGCTGCTGGAATTCACTCATTCAGTCATTGCATAACTTCAGATTAATCACCTACTATCTGGCAAGCTCTGTTACAGACACTGGAGTTATAGTCATGCTTTACAGAGCTTACACTCAGTGGAATAACTCAGAAGCAAGTGAAAATGTAATTTCAGGAAGTGATAAGTGCTATGAGAAAGTAAGCAGGGTAAGTGGATGAGATTTGTTTTGTCCAGCACGGGAGCTATTAGCCACATGTACCTATTTAACAGTGAATATTTGACAAAAATCAAATTGGAATGTGCTCTAAGTGTGAAATATTTACCAGATTTTAAGAACTTAGTATGAAAATAAAATGTACAATTTGTATGCTTGTTAGGTTCAAATAAAATTTTGGATATATTGGATTAAACAAAATGTATTATGAAATTATTTTCACTTTTTTCTTTTCACTTTTTGAAAGCATGGTGGCTACTAACACATTTGAAATCACACATGGCTCACATTATATTTCTATTGCATGGCTCTGGGTTAGAGTCATTTGCTCGATGGCCTCTGAGTATGTGATGCCTAGGAGGAGGCCAGGCTGAGGAGAACAGTGGTCCTGTGAAGAAGCTCTGGGAACAGTGTTGCAGGCAGACGGGAGATGAAACAGTAAATGCAAAGACTTGAAGTTTGGACTGAGCTCAGCACAGCTGAAGAGTAGCTAGAAGGCTGATGTGGCTGGAATATAGTGGGCAGGATTTCAAAATAAAAGTAGTTGGCAATAAATCCAAAATATTTCAAATACAATGTGGATCAGTGCTGTGGGAAGTAGTCAACTTGTGTGCTTGAACTAGATTCAACTTCTGAGGACCTTTTGCTGTGATCCTTGACTTTCGACACAGCCAGATCTAGAAGTTAGATGAGGCAACCTGCTGCCCACCCAGGTCTATGAACACTAGTTGAATAAAACATTTTTAGGTTTCCCAAATCTAAACTATCTCTCTGAATTGCTGCAATAGTTTTGTAAATTTTCTCTTCGCTTCCACTCTTCTCCCCATACTATTCCATTCTTTAGAGAAGCTGGACCCATTAACATTTTATATATATATATATATATATATATATATATATATATATATATATATGTATTTTTTTTTCAGTAAATTTCCATTACCTTTAGATTAAAACCCCCAAATCTTCACATGGCTCATAAAGCTATGGACCCAGACCCTCTGATCTCTACCCTGGCTTCTCTCTTCCTTCCTGCCCGCTCTCTGGTGAATGTAGGTTGGCATTTCACATGGCAAGAGCTTGCTGGGCTAGCGTTGAGAAGCAGCTGCACTCTAAAGAGGGGTGATTGTTCTCTAGTTGCCCAACGAAGCTTTCTGTAGTAATGGAAATGTTCTGTGTCTGTGCCGTCCAGTTAGGAGGACAGACATATTTGGCCACTAAGCATTTGAAATGGAGCTAGTATTACTGGGGAATTAATTTTTATTTGATTATGTAATTTTTGGGGGGGTACCAGGGATCAAACTCAGGTCCTTGCACTTGTGCAGCAGGAGGCGAAACCACTGAGCTAAATCTCTGGCCCTTGATTATGTAATTTTTAATTGATTTTAATTTAAATAGCCACATAGACCAGTAGCTACCATGTTGGACAGGGAATCCCTAGTTACCCTTTCCCACTCTTTCCAGTTGTATCCCTGGCTGACATCACCAGTTGTCATAACGGATCTGGCCCCTGGAACTGAGTTGTGACCCTTGTATCTCATTATCTAAGTGCTCATGTTGGTTTAAAGATGATATGCTTTATTCATGCTAAAATGATGCATTTTATTCCTTTCTGCTATGAAGTTTTCCTTGTAAAAATCTAGAATAGATGCTGATAATTGTCTAATGCCTTATTTTCACAGATGAAACTGTTTTCTGGTTGTTTTGTGTTTTTTGCAGTGCTGAGGATTAAACCCAGGGCCTTGTGGACATGTTAGGCAAGTGCTCTACCATTGAGCTACATCTTCAGCCCTATTTTATATACAGGCTTTATTATGTTAACATTTTTAAAATGTAAGAATGATGTCAAAGATTTATTCAACTCATTAGTGAGGGAACCAGCAAGGTGATAAAGCAAAAGTATTTATAATCACAGAGATAAGACTGCTAAGTTGGATACAATGCTGCTGAATGTCTTAGGTGACAATAAAATTGTGGCTTTTGGGGGCTATTTTTTCTACTGGACAAATGATTACCATGTACAGTACTTGACTTCCCAGAGTCTAAGCCTCAACAGAAACTGTCAATCATAGGGACATTTACAAGAGGATTGGTAAACTATGTTACCATTGCATTAATTTCTTTAATATATTTCTTTAATTATGTCACCTTTTTCCTCAAGAAACTTTCATTAAAAAGGCCCAGTTCCCTCAGTGGGAACTCAAACTATTTTTCTGCTGTTTTTCTTGGTGGAACAACTGACAAACTATGTCTCAGCCTTGAGTGTTTGGCAAAAATTTTGTAAAAAATAAATGAAGTGAATCTGTCACTTTTTTTTTTTTGAATCTGTCACTTTAAGGAAAACAGCTGACAGTATTTGCCATTTAAAAGATTCATATAAAATTTTGAATTTTGGAAAACTTGAATTCACTGCCATAAACTTTTTTTTTTGTATTAAATTCTTTTATTGGTACATTGTAGGTATACAACACAATTACATTTCTCATTGGGAATTGTACCTTTATATAATGC